AAATCTGTTTAGGTAAGTTGTATTAATGTTAAAACTAACAAATAATTATAATTGCTTTCAACAGAATTAATTGTTCATTCGTTAATTAACAAAAAGTGACGAAGAAGATGGGGGAAGAAATGCAAAAATACTACAAATAATGATGAGTTAATAGTTAAGCAGACACATGCAGAGTGTTAAGCTAATCTTGCAAATATAAATAAAGAAATAAAGAAGAAGCAAGGGGTCCAACTTGAGTGCTAAACAGCGACAGAACTATCTTAAGCACCAAGTTCCATCGGTTTCATTTTACTGTACTTTCATGGATGACACAGATTTGGACTGTCCCTTCACTAATGTCTAGACACCATTTTGCTTCCCCGTATACATGCTTAGCTAACAAGTATATATATACAATATTAACTCATCTGCTATACTTCAATGATTTTCTTATCATACATATCTAAGTAGGCTCAATCACAGATCTAAAATGAATTTTTAATAATGTAAAAAGTAAATTTAACTTATGTAACTTAATAAAATTATTTAATTACTAATATAAAATACTTTTTTTAAGGAGTCCTAAAATAAAAGTTTTATTGACTTTGGAGTTGGGTCTACTTTGATCCCAAACAAATCATAAGATGAACATGCTGGATTTTTTTCAATGGAAGAAAAATTTTGCTTCATTTATTTATTTGCACTAAAGTTGAAGTTAGTTTTATTTTAAATATTTAGGCTTAATTAAGTGGAGTTGTGTAACTGTTAAAAAGTTTTTTTATTCATAAAAATTATAATAAATTAAAGTTAATTTATCTAACTATTATAATATAAAAGTTGAGTTATTTTATATTATGATAACTCGTCATTTTAAAATAAAAATTAGATATTATTATGTAAAAAAAATATTGATATGTCATCATATAATTTCTTTTTTTTTAATATATATTTTTTTATCTACGTAAACTTAGCCATAAATTCACTTTTAAAAATTTAACCTCCTCTACCCCTACCAAATAGATTAACAGTTCCACTACTGTCATTGAGTGTCGATCTAATATATTGACTATGACACACTCATCCTCCTCTTCTTCATTATCTTTATCATTTTCAAGGCGACACTAACATCAATCTCTCCCTCTAAGCGACGTCTTTGACCTTGTGGTCCAGGCTAAGATTGTGCTTAAGCTTGCATGCCCTAATATTGTCTCTACTATTGTGCTAATATTCTCCCCGTCATCATTGTGACCTTCTTACTATGTTCGATAGTTCATTCTATTTTGTATGTCTTGACCAACATGATAACCACTCTTTGTTGAAAGAAAAATACACATTAGAAAAAGAATTGAATAATGTATATCAAAAACTCGTACTTTGCAGTAAAATAGTAAAAACATTAACCTTATAAATTAAACATTGGATAGAGAAAATCAAGGATTTGAAAAAATGTTTTTTATTTTAAAATTTTAAAATTTCAAAAACAATTTAATTTCTTAATATCTAATTTTAGAAAAGAAAAATATTCAACATGTATTTGGTTTAACTATAAAATATTTTTGATAAAGTTTAAAATTTTAAAAATAAATAATAATAATAATATTCTTAATAATTAACTCTAAAAAAATTTAAAATAATTGAAGAATATCAATATCACAATGAAGATAATTATAAATAGTATATATCGCATATTAATATTATAATTATAATATTTATGATTATAATTGAAATATATATATATATATATATAATATTCAAATTTGCGGAAATTTTATTTAATTTTATATTCTTTTAATTTTAGAACCGTGTCTAGCAAATACTTTAGATTTAATTTTGTTTTAACCTTTTTATCAAACAATTAACCTATTCAAGCAATTAATTTTACATCACATTGGAATAAGTTAAAGTTGAAAAAGAAAATATCACTGGGGCATGACTCAAGCATAAGAAGAGAGAGAGAGAGGAAGATTTGGTGTCTCATGCACTACATCTATTAATGGTAAAAGCAACATTACAAACCAGAAGAAAAAAAATTCCATGTAAATAACCTTCATAATATAAATTCAAAAGTTATAAAAAAGAATAGGCAAGGAGCATAAAATCATGCAAAACACAAGTAAAATTTTTCTTCTACAAAGACTATAAAATAATCATATTTTGAAAATAAAAGAACAAATAAATATCAATAAAATTATACCACATGCTACCGTTTTTTTTTTCCCGTTTCAAAATTGAAAACAATTTTATTTTAATTTTACATTTTAGTTGATTTGTAAAATACATGCTTTCTAAAATGTAACCATACATATTTTCATTTTCTAATTTTTATGAAAATGAAAACAAAAAAAAATGTTCGAAGCAAACAAGGCCTTATAATTTATGCATAGGACTTCCCTCCATCCCTATGGTATCGGTTAGAAAACAAGTTTCTTTCAACTATATATCACACCACTATCTTATAGTTTCTATTGCAAAAGGCTCAATCATTTACCACACCATAGTATAAAACTAAAAATCTCTTCTCCAACTATCATTTAATTATATTGACAGGAAGTCTCTTGTCACCTATTCATACATATTACCAAGCACACCTGAATATAACATCCTATGTTTATTAGGATGTTAATTTTCTCTACTCAAAGTAGTCTTAAATAATGTACATCAAAAATGTTATTATTTTTCTTTGACTTAAAATAATCTTTTTTTTCAAATATTTTGCAAGTTCTAATATAAATATTAAATTATTTATATAATTCATTATCTTCACAATATAACTTATGCATTTCTTAACTCGTGCAACGTGTTAATTAATGTCTAGTCTTGTTCTAAATCTTGAGGCTTAATTAAGTAGAGTTATGTCATTGTTAAAATCTTAGTATTAATAAAAATTAATCCAATTGATTATAAACGTACTCTTATCTTAAAAGGATTTAAGTTTGATTTTTGCTGCTAATGTGTAGAGTTTGTTAACGACTAATTAGTAATTTGTAAATAGTGTTCATATAATTTTGAGGTGTGTTGTAATAATTTTAGTGAGTTTGGAAATCTAACTCACCTAACTCTTTCATTAAAAAAAAAAAAAAAAAAAAAAAAAAGAAAAGAAAAGAAAAAGAAAAAGAAAAAGAAAAGCAATGAAAGAGCACCAACTACTGCCGCGCGTTTAGTGTCCGTTGTCCTTTTCAAATTTATAATTAAATGTTGGCGACATAAGGGTCCCAAAATAAAAATCGCACAAAAGTTTGCTTCCTCATAACGAACTATTCAACCATTTATCCTATCGACAATTTATTTAAATGTCCCGTGAGAAAAAAATTGAGGGTATTACTATTTATTATAATTAAAGTAAAAAATTTACATTTTAAAGTCAAGAAACATCTTTTTAGTAATCTTAACTATTTACATTGAAAATGATGTTAAAAAACTCGTACGATAAAATTATTTGCAATGGTTCAAACTTCAAAGATCAAGGTTCCATGCACTCACGAGGATAAAGCAAGGAATTGAGAATATATTTGTAAAGTGGCTTCCTGTTAACAACGCAAGCTTAAAAATCGTATTAATAAACTTTATAATACACTTAATTATATTTTTAATTTTTTTTATTATAGTCACCGTGGAGGATGCATCGAGGGAGATTATTTTTTATATAAGAATAAGAAAAGTAGATATACTATCAAATAAGTTTAAAATAGAGGTAAAATATAATAGATGGTAATGGTTGACAATTATACAATTTATTTATACATAAAAATAAAAAAGAACATAATTTGACAAAATTGAGAAGAATGTTTTTAGATAGTTGTAAAAACAATGTGTAAAACTCAAATTCAAATAAAAAAAGAAGATAATATTAAGATATCTAATTGAGATAATGAAAATAACTAAACTAAAATAAATTAGTGGGACAATATCATACTCTTTTCGTTTTTTTTCATAGTCATTTTGTCAGATTTTGTTATTTTTTTCATTGTTACTTTTCTAAAACTAATGATTAATTAATTTTCTTTTTCATTTTTATCCTTGATAATTAATGCATGTTTACTGAACAATGTGTCTATTCATTTTCTAATGTATCTATTTCTTCTCTAACCACGTAAAGAGTATAATAGGAAAATATGTAATAATATTTTAAAAAATTAAAATATCAATTATTGTCTTAATTCTTGTGCATAACTTTAAAGACAATGAAACAAAAAATGGAGGAAGTATTATATTTATTTTATTATACTAGTATTTTAGCTACAAATTAAATATTTATTATACATAACTAAAATTTATAATAAATTATATATAAATAAATATTATATTTTAATATATAAATTAGATTTAAAATTTGAATAAATCACATATTTAAAATATATAAATTATGTTTTAGATTTATGATAAATAATTTATATTATAGTTGAATATTATTTTTATATATTGATGATTTTTTAAAAAATATTAAAATTTAATTTATAAATAATTATAAAAAAATAAAAATTGAATTAAATAAGATGTAAATGTTGTAGAAGAAAAATTTATGCAAAGCTCTCGTGCAAATGATGTAAAAAAAAAAAATGTACACTGGAATACATTTCAATTAAATTAAAAAGTTATATAACATCCTCTAAACAGCATATAACTTTTTGGATTCAATTTTAATTATTTATAAAAGATGAATGTGCATTATTTCTTTCATTTTAGTGTAAAAGCTGATCTTGCCTGCCTTTTACACCGTATCTAATTATATATCTTAATTAATAGTAAAAAAACTAAATAATCATTAGAATGAATCTTGTTCTTCCCAAGTTCTTTTTATATGCAAAGCAGAAATTGATTTTTTTATTAATGTTTAAAAAAAAAGTCAGTTATTTATGAATTATATTCAATTTTGCTAGTGTATTATCAATAATTGATATATAGATAAAACAATTTAAATCTTAATTGGACTTGGAGCTGAAAGGTAAATAAAAGAAAGTTGGAAGTGTTATATATGATGGTGAATGAAAAGATTATAGAAGGAGCAAGAGTTAAAGTAACAGTAAATGTGAAATATATAGTGTATTATGTGCATATAACATGTTACATATTAAAGTGAGGGAAGCAACGAAAGAGCGAAACAACCTTTGAAATTGAGGAGGGAAGGCATGTTTGGTAAAGGAACATGAGATGTGTTTATTGGTGATCAGTCCCAAAGATAGTGAGAGGTTTCCAAGATAAAACTAGCTTCTCCAAACATCATCTCACAAATGCTCATTGGAGGAGGAAACACCCAACTATCCACCGAGTCAACAAAAGCGAACTCACTTCTCGACTCAACCGAGTCCAACCTCTCTTCGATGTTGGGCAGTTCCACAATCTGACTCAGCTCTTCCGAGTCCGACTCCGAGCCCTCGCGGTCGAACTCCACCATGGCGGCGGCTTCGGCGGCGGCGGCTTGGACGTCACGCGGGGCGCACGTGAGGGGTCTCGGAAGCATGTTGGCTAAGTGGGGGAAGTTGAGAATGGCGGCGTGGCCTTTTATGCTCAGAGCCGCAACATCGTGCGCACGTGCCGCCATTTGGGGCGTGGCGAAAGTGCCGAGCCAGATTCGTGATTTCTTGCGAGGCTCGCGAATTTCGGACACCCATTTGCCCCAATTGCGCATTCGCACGCCGTGGTAAACCGGGTGCTTGCTCTGCTCTCTGTTTCTCTTTGCCTTGCTTTGTTTTGAGGTCTCTGTTTCTTTAGTTTTCTCGGGTTTTGAAGTGGAGTTGTTGTTGCTGCTGCTGCTGCTGCTGCTGCTGCTAGGAGTTTCGTGACATGTTGCTCGGGTCATTGTTGTTCAGAAGGGGAATGTTTGTGCATAGAGGGGTGAGTACTAGGATGTAGGTAGGGAGAGATAACATAGAGCAGAGGAGAAACAGAGCATATGGGTTGGCTTTTTTGTAGCCAAGGGCAAGGATAGATAAAGCGACGCTTAACCTACCAATAATATATTTCGTGACAATGCTTACTGTAGTGTGTCATGTTTAGGTTTACTAGTATAATGGGAAAGAAGAAAAAAAGAGGGGAATTTATGGGTAATAAAACTAACACGGTTAAATAATAGAAGGAAAGGATTGAATTTTTTGCCTTTCTTGCGAATGATTTATTTGGTTAAGTATAAGGAAGAAGGATCAAAGCACAAGGGTACGTGGGGCCCACCCAGGTATCGTATTTTTGTTATAGATACGTGTTTAGTGCAACGTAACATTATCCTGGCTTAGTCTCATCCCATGTGTCAAAATCGCACCTTTCTTGTGCCCCTTGGGGTCGACTTGTCTGATGCATTGTGCAATTCCTATTATTCTCCATTTGTTTAAAGAAATTCACAACCATATAGTGGTGTCTTCCTCACTCTTCCGCACTTCGCTTATTGGCATAGACAATGTCTATTGTCTACAGACACCACTAGCCCTTGTTCTGGTTTTCCTTATTTATTTTTTGGATAAGGACTTCTGACGTTGATTGGTATGCAAGAAAATGAAGCATCGTTTGTAAGAAAAGAGGATCAATAATCCCTTCTTCCATTTGGACGTTAAGGTTTAGAGAGTCTAATATTCCATTTAGGTCATAATCATCCTGTGTAAAGATAATATCTCTATCCTAGGATGCTTTGATATCGTTGTGTGCAGTGCTGATTCAAAAGCATTCCGAATTTCCGATGTTCTAGAGAAAAGGGGGCAACTCTTGCTGTGGATTATTTAGAAGCTAACCTTATCCAAGTTACCAAGACGTGACACTTCAAAATGGGACTATAATTGGCTTGTTACTATTATTTCCCTCCAACAATGTTGAAAAGTAAAGAGAGATGTACAAACTTTTTTTATTATTATTTTTTTTAACATAGATATTTATCTGAGTAATTAAGAGAAGCCTCAATTATTACCTTTCATAAATTATGTTAGTTTCCGGTCAAAATTGGGTTTCTTTGCCCTTTCCCCTCATATTCATTTCATCAACCAACCATATAAAAAAATAGTATTTAGACCAAGTCACCTCATGGGAACCTTAAACATGGGTGTACACATACTTATACTGGAATGCCTAGCTACTTGCGTACTATACCTTACATGTATTCATTAATTTTTCTCGAGCGTGTTTAAAAAAGCTGTGAAAATTAAATTATATTAATAATATAATCAATTATATGAATAATCAATAATCTATTGATATCATCGATTATAATTAAAATATCTTTTTTTTAATACATTTGCTAATAAACAATTTTAAAATGTTTAATTACGTTTTATACAACAAAATAATCTATTCTTATGCAGTAAATCAGCTAAAAAAGCTGAATCCGATTGAACAATTGAACCAAGTATGAATTATGTTTCTAAGGTGTGCTAAATTTATACTGGACATTAAGGAGAAGGGACCATTTTCTATTGAGAAAAAATTGTAAAAGAAAGGGTAAAACAGAACTCATACGCATTGCTGCAGGAAAAAAACAAGACATTGCGCCGGATGCACCCACATGGTATTGCTAAATACTAATGGTGCCTGGAATACAGATCGAAAATCTCAACTACGTACAAAAAGAATTAAAAGAAAGAAAAAAAAGGCAACATTCTAATATTCATTTCCTTTCGAAATATAGAAATCATTTCCTCTTCTTCCAAGTGCAAGAACTTTCCTCATATATTTTGTTGTTGACATGGACGAATCAAATAACATCTAAAATGCTCCATCATGACAAAGAAAATCATCTTTCTTCATTGAAAATTATAAACCACTTTGATTTAGTCGTGTGAAATTCATAACAGCATCGTTGAAATCTTAAATCATTCTCCTTGAATCATATCCAGTAGCAAGATGATCCTGCAAGCACGAAACAACATGATCGAGTGCCTCTACCAAAAACTGGACAAAGTATTCTGAAAACTATAACTTGAAATATGATGAAAAATGATTTTTTTTTATTTTTTTTATTTTTATAATTGAAAACTGTACAATGAAGGATACAATATATAAATACTGCTTTGATAATAGATGCTAGCCTGGAATTATGGACGGAAAATCTGGTCTGATTCTACAAATAAGGAAATCAGTACTAATTGCATATAATGATAATAATATATGAGCCACAACACAATAATATGAAGAAAAAAAAACAGTTCATCAAACTCAAGCAGTAATTTCCATCAAGCAAATACCATGACCTGACAGGGTAAATTGTTCATCCCGGCAGCTATTATTTAATATTCAAGTTGTGTTTGGGAGAGGTTATAATCTCTCATTTAAGTTTTTTTTTTTTTGAAAAAAAGCTATACTTGGAACAACAATTTAAATTTGTAAACAACTTTTTCCTCTAAAAAAGTTGTTTTAGTGAAGCTAAAAAAATTTGAAGCTTATGATTATTTCTCATCAATTGGTTGCTAAGCTGATTTACTATATAATTTTTTTTTTGTTTTATTCAAACAAAATTAAACATTTCAAAATTGCTTTTCCACAAACTTATTCAAACAAAATTTCAATTTGATTATAATCAATTATAACAGTAAATTTCACAACTTTTCCAAACACATTCAAAGTGTTCAATGAATTTCTAATGACATGTGAAATTCCACATAAATGGCTTGTACAACAAAGTAATTCAAATGATTGAATTCAAGTAAAGCTGTAAACCTATACTGAACAAGTTTGGATTCTACAAAGCAGATAATTCATTGCAGATCATACCTAAAGTAAATCACTGGAAGGTAAATAAATGATTTACTCCCAGACTTACCGAGATAAAATCAAATGCTTTAGTTTCTTCTTTCTTTGAGCTGTTGACCATCGAGCTAGGAGTTTGAGCTGAAAATTTTGATTGGAATATGTCCGGAAGAGGTGTTCTTCCATTGCGTTCAGCATTTTGATCAGTGCTACCATCATGCTTGTTGACATTATTAAGATGTTGGAAATTAGCCATTGTTGCCAGAAATTGCTGCTGAGCCAAGAGATTTCCCAAGGCACCATAATTATGTGGCTGAGAAGAATATGGTTGGTTCAACATAACACCAGGCTGAGTGGTGTAAGGTGGATGCCCAGGAGGAAATATAGAATTTACATTGATGCCAACTGCTTGAGAGCCCAACATGCTACCTAAACCATTGTCAGGTCCCAGATGGCTAACATGATTACTTAAGCCAGAAAATAAAGATTCAGATTGCATGGCAGGAGATGTTGCTTTCGGTTTTGTGCTAGAGGTATTTTCATCAATGGACAAGCCAGCAAATAAATCATCAACAAACTCTCCATTATTTCCATGCCTGGAATTAGAGGCAAAATTGTCAGTACTTTCAGTTTCAGGTTTACTTCTATTCCCCAGACCATGACTCACATGATGACCCAGTTTATGATCACCAACAGTCATCCTTGAAAAGATATCGACATGTTCTTTGTTGTCATTAGAATGAAATGAGACATCCGCAAAGGGGTCATCATCATTTTTTAGTTCATTACTAGCTACCCCAGAGTTAAAATTTACAAATAAATCATCAGCCAGAGTCGGAGGTGTTGATGACGTCAAATTAGCTACATTTTGATCATTTGTACTCTTTATAGTATCACCTGTTCCATGATAGTCATTCAAATCACCAGTGTCAATCAAGTTGGGTAACTCAGCAACAGCAGCACTATCTGTCTTCACAGCCTTCTCTGAATTAATAGCACCATTTAGTTGGCTTCCACCTAAAAGACCAAGAACCTGTCCATGAAAGGGCCAAGTGCTAAATTTAATTACAAAGTATTAATCTTGCACTCAAAAGGCTGCTTTTAAACTTATTTTCTTCCTACTAAGCAATTTGGTATAGGGTGATTCCTTTTGTCCAGGTAATTTGATGATTAAATAGAAAAAGAACTGCACAATATTTTGCTGAGTTCTGAGATATAACTGAAATGCTCTACCAGTATCAATACTTTCATAGTAACTACGATATAATCGCTATCAGGGTTGTTTCTATAACTCAATATAGAACTTCCAGTTACATGCCTATCTCTAATAATCCAATTTTATCTAATTAATTACAGTTCAATAGCTCTGATTAAAAATCACTTTATGCTTAAAACTCAAATCAAAAGAAATAAAAGTAATTAAGAAACAATGAACTGATATAAGAAAATGTGAAATGAATGAGAGGTTGAAATGGAATACCTTATTCGCCTTTTCCCTTAAAGAAGCTTGGGGGGACTCAGAGCATCTCAGCACCAGATCCTTATTTTCAGTGAAGTAAGATGCCATACATGAAAAATGATCATCATCTTTCTTTCTAAGGATGGACTCTAAGACACATACAGCTTTAACCCGAACCTGAAAATATTGTTCCCAAAAGAAGTCAAAATGGGATTACAAATACATCAATATGCACAAATATCAAGTGCAGGTTTGTTAATTAACACGGGCATGCTCTAATGCATTTGTATTTTCACTGAAATGTCAAGTTGTCAACACAACACACGTGCCTGCCACATCGGAGATTGGAGCTTTCGTTCAATTGCATGGCACAAAGCCATCGCATCCAACTTTGCAGCCTCTGTCAAGAAAACTTGAATGGCTTCTCGAGTGGGCTGCAGGCGCACGCCTCCGGAACTTGCAACTGTCTCCATCAATCTATCCTCTCGTGTCTTACTCTCCACATAACTAGCATCAGTTTTCCCATTCGATATTTCTATCCTAGTTGGACCTGTATCCTGATTCCAAGGGCCACCAGATTGATTCCTTGAGAGTCCAGAAGCCGTTTGCGTTTCCCTACGATACGCAACGGGTTCATATCTATCCCCACGTTGTTCTGTTTCTGCATTGAACGAGCTATGAAGATTGGGGCCATCGTAGTTTCCAGTCCCAGCTTCATTCTTGATGAGAGAAGAATGCCCCTGTGTGAAGGCACTGAGTCCTTGCTTAATGGTTGCACTTCCAAGATCAACTACCTCACTGAGAAACGATTTCTTACCCTGAGGAGGCGCTTGAAAGTTGGTGTTCCCAAACCCTTGTATCCGGCGGTTGAGATCAGCAGCAGCAGGAGCTGAAGACGGTGGCTTATTGTTCTCATCTGAAGAAAAAATGGCAGCAATAGCCTCTTGTGCAGTGTCTCTCACAGCCTTGTTGAGTGCATCACCTTTCATAGGATCCAATTGACCCTTGTAGTGTAACAACTGACGAATGGCCACCGAATGTCTCTGCATTTCCCTTCTAAACTCCGCACCACACTTTCCAACCGCATATTTGATCAATCTTAAAGCCTGTCCATGCAACCACAACACAATGATCTCAATCTATCTGATTTCAACATTTTTCATTCCTATTCTAGGTCTCAATTTAAGGAAGGAATAAAAATAGTAACAATAATAATGATGATGATAATTGAGACGCGTACCTTGTGTTTGACGATGGGGCTCTTATTGTCGAAGCGTTTAAGGATGAATTCTGAGAGCTCCTTTACAATGTTAGGGTGCGACGAGCGAAGGAGTTCGCAGATTTCTTCGAGTTTGTAGACAGGTGTGACTTTGTCTTCATCGGATGTAGCTGAATCGATCAACCGCCACCTCCAGTATGATTCCACCGCTC